TCATCATAGTCTGATTTCTATCAGGGCTATAGACTATAATCAAAGAAGAAATGATGTAAGAATCTTAAAGCTGAGCACCAACACTCCAACACTCTTCTCTTTGGTGTTTAAAGAAACAGTCACTTCATAAAGTTACCAAAGACTGCACAGACACTGCTGCAGACAGAAGCAGGAGGAAAGGGGGCCCTGCCTCTACTCAGATTGCCCTCCTAGTCAGGAAAGTATGGAATTTTTGCCTCACATGATCCCTGTGATGAAAACCATTGAATTAATCCCAAATGCCAAACTTTATGTTGTACCACGTAGTCTTCATATTTGAACATTCAGACAGTTTGTTTTGTGATTGGTAGAAACTAGACACAGTTGACAGTATCCTGAACAACACAGAGAAATCTTATTATGATCTAGCCTTAAGCCATTTAAAATTTTCTAATAATCAATAGTTCAATTCCTCAAAGATAAATATGTCTGTATATGTGTATATAGCATAAATCAAACACATCAGACATTGACATGAGTGAACAGCTGTTCACAGCTGTAACATGGAGTCATTCATTCTGGGATTTTTCTCACATGTCAGCAGTCCAGAAATACTCATGGTATCCACCAAGAATATTTCTGTTATGAATTTAGTTAGAACCTGGGCTTGGAGGAGGGGAGTAGACAAATGTAAAACCATTGAAGCTATCCATTGACACTTGAGAATAAGAGTTTATGTCTTCCAGAAAGGATGGAGTCACCTGGTCTCTCTCTGCTACCTGTCAAAAGGGTTAGTGGGCAGAGAGGAGGACTACAGAGGCTTCCTCTGAATATTCTCTTTTCTTTCTCAAACTACTTCTGTGACAGAGTGCTGCTGGGTCGTCTCTCTGGTCACAGGATGGCTCCTAATCATGCTGCTAAATTGCTCAGGGACAAATTAGTAGACTTATGTAATGTACCAAAGGACTAAAGTGGTTATAATAATGCTGACTTCCAAGTTCCTCTTTGTGAAACATGTCAATCCTGTATCTATACTTTTGCTCCTATTTCCTTTAACACCCCTCCTGGACTCGATTTGTAAACCCAGCGTGACTACCATAAAATCATCACTCCCCCAGCATTTATGGACGACTGAAGTAATATCTTTCTTCATTGCAGGCCACCTTTGTAGGAGAATTTTTAAAAGTCTGCGCTGGTCAGAGGCAGCCCCTTTCTGCACTGTGTTCCTTAGGACACGGCCTACAATGCCAGCAGGACAGCAGACTGGCATCCTCTGAGGAATGTGCAAACCGTGCCTGCATCTGCCACACTACACTAGCTCAGTATCTCCGGGCATTGCAGCAGTTGTCCTGGAAGCTCAGGGCGTTTGTCTCACAGGCAGCTGAGCTGCCTCGCATTTCATGAGCAGAGCAGTGGAATGCAGTGGAAGAGACCCAGGCCTCTGGCCACCCAGATTAGAGAGTTTTGTGCTGAGGTCCCTATATGGTTGTGTTAGCCTGAACGACAGGCTCAAGTCTGTCTTTGCTCCTTGTTTGGGAAGCAAGTGGGAGGGGAGCAGGCCAAGGGGCTATATAACCCTTCAGCATTCAGCTTCCCTGAACACCACCCAGACCGGAGAAGCCCAGCCAAGCACTGTCAGGGTAAGTGCCCCCGCCCCGAGATGTGACTTATCGATTACAGGGGCTCTTTTATTACCCTGTATAATCAGATGTCGGCTGCAGGGATTTGGCTGGGCTTCTGTGCTCTGCTATTTTTGAATGAAGATTGTATTACTAAAATAATTGTAATGTTTAGCTCTAATGATCTGACATGAAAGACAAAGCTAATATGCAACTTGGCGTGGTAGAGGAGGTGGAGAGGAAGATGAAATGAAATTTTTACTCATGCATGTCATCTATAAAATCTGTTTATACTAAACCAACAGCCCAGAGCTTGCAAGACATTGTAGATGTGCAGTCTAGCTGTTTGTAGTAAGTTACACATTTATTTATGTTTAAGCACTGGAAGCTCAGGGATTTGTTTGTGGTTCAGATTTTGGTGTAGTGATTTTTCATCAGACTGTATCTCCAGAGCAGCTAAGGTACCTGGAA